TTCCGAGTCTGGTCTGCCCTGCCTATCCCCCTCCGTGCCAACGCGAAACGTCGCGTTCATGCTCCTCTTCCTCCTTGCCCTGCTTCTGAAACTCGCCATAGCCTGCGTGCTGCTTATTGCATGTCTTTCTGAGGGAATTTTTCTCCATTTATCGGCAAGACGCTTCGCTTTTTTAATCGGTTGCACCATTTGCTTCACAACCCTCTTCCTTGCCAGTTGTTGCTGCCTCGTTTTTGTGTTGAGCGCGTGAGGGTGGCTTGACTATAAGTCAGGCAACGAGCGTAGCGGGGAGCGGAGCGATGGAGCATAGACCAATGACGTAGGCTTCGACATGTGCCTTTTTGCCCTTCCTCTCTTTTCTCTCCTTCCTTTCCTTCCTCTACTTCCTCTACTCCCTTCCCTGCTCCCCTCTGCATGACCCCTCCCTCCCCCTCCCCCCCACCCGGACCCTCTCCGCATGACCCCTCCCTCCCCCTCTCGCCCTGCCCCCCCCCCCCCCCCCCCCCCCCCCCCCCCCCCCCCCATCATCCCTATCTCACTGCACCCCCCTTCGTAACCCGACCAATCCCCCGCCTTCCAGAGATCGTGGAACGATGGAGCATAGAACATCGGCGGAGGCTTCGACATGCGCCTTTTTGACCTTCCTTTTCCCTGCTTCCTTCTTGTCCTTCCTCTACTTCCCCTACTCCCTGCCCGGACCCTCTCCGCATGACCCCTCCCTCCCCCTCTCGCCCTGCCCTGCCCGACCCTCACCCCTCGACCCCACAACCCTCCATCATCCCTATCTCACTGCACCCCCCTTCGTAACCCGACCAATCCCCCGCCTTCCAGAGATCGTGGAAGATGTCCCCCCCTCTGATGACACCCCACGCGGCATGGGGCAGAAAAGCGCTTCAGGGAATTGTCACACCCTTCACGCAATTCGGCGAGATGATCCACACGGATGCAGGAACGCGCTGGATCTGGAGGATAGAGCTGAAGCGGGATATAACTTTCCCCGCCCCCTTCCCCCTCTCCCCATTCCCCGTTTTTTTTCCCCCCCTCCTTTTTTTTTCCCCATATGGAACCGCATGAACGATTGGCAGCAGAGGAACGACGTGGGCGATGTATTTTGTTCTTCTTACAGATGAGACTATTCGGTGTGATCTCTGGTTGTCTTTGGATGTATGCCATTGGACTAGCCCTCTTTTCTCTCGTATGGTGTCTGGATGCACCCCAATCTCTCCTCACGTTTTGGATGTAATGAAAACATCGCTTGCCTTTTTTTCCCTCCTCTCCTTCTCTCCTTCCTCTCTCCCTTTCTTTCGTACCTTCACCTCTTTCTCTCCTTCTCTCTCGATTGTTTCTCTCGTCCTCTTCCCTCCTCCCGCTCTCTTCCCCCCTTTCCCGCCTTCCCTTTAATTGGATTTTTTTCCCACTGTAGCCAGTCGATATTTTTTTCACCTTATCAGGCTACCTCTTCCGTCGATGACTCGTCCTTTGCTGCAATTTCAACAAGTTGATGAATGTGTATGATCGTGTCTGAGCAATTGCATGCAATAAATTGTTTTTAAATGATTGTCTTGCTCTTCGGTAATTTCTTTACATGCAGATCGTTTTGCGTGTCTTCCTTTCCTGATATTTTCTATCGTAATATATTGTTGATGCCCTCTCGGGAAACGAGGCACCCCTACCCATCTTCACTTCGATTCAGCACCAACGCATAATTGGCCAACTTCGACCATAAAACGGCCCCATGTTTTTACCCTCACCACAAATGGACACACGAGTGGTTTTACCCTGCCTCGTTGAAAGATCGCCTCCCACGTCTTGTTTGTTTGCTCACAATGTGCCGACGCTTTTGGTCGGAGTAGCACGAGTATGCTCGTGCTCATGCGAAACTCATGTGAGAGACACATGCTACACGCTCAAGAGGACGTGTTTCCTTGACCGTTGTCGGGGGTTTCCCTCCCGGCCGCACTGTGAAGCATCTATTTGGCGTTCCTTATAGGCCCCCGCGTGGAAATGAGGTGATGATGGTGACTATGGGGTACGCCGAGGTCGTCTGAGCGCTTGTGAGGGGATGGCTAGATAATGTCGAAAAGAAAAGGGTTGTGAATTGTGAAGATCCGTGGTGAGAGTAGATGTGATCTTGGGGACAGCAGGTGGGGAGTCTGGGGACTTGCTTTGAAGAATCTTTGTTGTCCTCGCTTGTGGTTCTGTCTTCCCCCATTCCTGATCCCTACACTTTTTTCGATAACCCCCCTGTCAACACGATCCTGTCACCTTCGGCTTACGGGGGACCACCCTCCTTCAGAGAGGATTCATCTTTCTCTATGCCTCTTCCTGATTTTCGTTCTCCTCTAACCACCCCTATCTACATCATCGCCCGGTTCTCTATTATTCCCTTTTCTTTTCTTTTCTTTTCTTTTCTTCCTTATTATTTTCTCCCTTGTCTTCTTTTCCTTTTTTTTTTTTTTTTCTTGTTTCCCATTTTTTTTTTGCTTTGTTTCGTTCCTTTTTTTGCGCATTCGCAAAGGCCTCGTAAGGAATCGTTCCTGGGCAGATGGCGGAATGAGTTAACGCATCGCTTCCTGTGGCTGGGAGAATGCGCCTGGCCCGCGAAACCCACACAAGCATTAACAACTTGCGTTAACCCGGGGGTCATGGATAAGATAAAAAGTGCATAAGATATCAGGTGCTTCCCCCATTTCTTTGAAATGCTTTGTTTTAGTGACCTCGTTGTTCTCGCGGGAGCGTCACGGTGGGATCGGAGTAGGGAAGAATTCAACGATGAACTGAGAATCTTATGCGAGCGGCTTAAGTTGAGAAAGCAGGAGTATGCTAGGGAATGGAAGGAACTGGGGAGAAGATCTGCCAGGGTTGAAGAGATCCTCCTGAGGATCTGGGGTGTGGATGACTCGCACCTAGAAGGACGAGTCCTTGAAACCCAGATAGACGGTCTCGCCTACAGCAGGAAGCAACCAAGTAACGAAATGCGATGATCTTGCGATCTAGGCCGAGGAGAGGGAGGAGATAAAATGGGCGATCGCCGCCATTACGGCCACTATCAGGGATTCCCCCCTCACAATCAACAGGATGGGTGCTAATGCCTTTGAACGGGACCAATATACGGCGTTCACTCCCTTGGCGTCCACATATTGGGTAGAACACATTCAACACACATCCACGGGTTTCCTACATGCGATTTGGAAGATGGAAAACTTTAACTACATCGCACCAATCTCCATCGGGGCACTCCAATTCCTGCGGAATGTCAAAGATGCACAGGTGAAGGAGTGTAGGGCGCAAGTACTGAAAGGAAGGCCGAAGTTCCCTGRRAGGGTCCYCYACTGGACCCCCAAGACCTTAAATTCCCACCCATGCGCGCATTAGATCCAGATAAATGTGGGGAAACGAGCTTGGGGATGTGGCAGAAAGCTATTAGACAGCAGGACAGGCTAGACCTCAAGAACTTGAGGAACATATGGAGCGTAGGGAGACCCTATTTCAAATGCAAATGCAAAAGGAGAAAAACAAGGATTGCGGAGACACCCCACTATGGTTTGACCATGCCCTCTGGTATCTACTTACGCACCTGGACGTACTGTTCCCGAACATGTCCTCGATAAAAATCAGGACATTGATGTTGATCCACTACCTCAGGACCACACGGAGGAACGGGGTGCTTGCCGCCATTAGCTTTCACTTTCTCGGAGATCTGATAATGGTATATCTCAGGGATCTTGAGAGGGATGGAACACTCGACACAGAGGGTTTGCTGAAGGAGGATCGCTTATGGAGCTATCCGATACCTGCGTTACTTGCACGAATTATGATCCCTACGCGGATCCCTGAAAAACTGACGAGGTTTCCGCTCAGCTCTCCGCGAGCAGCAGCGCGAAAGAGAGGCGGGGGGGCGCATGTACCGGGCCAAACCACGCTCAACTTCCGCAGGGTAGCACCGGTGCCCGATGCTCCCCCTCACCCTCCTCCTCCTATGCCTCCTCCTCCTCCTACTCCCAATCCTCCTACTCCTCCCAATCCCCCTCCCCCTCCACCTCCTCCCCCTCCTCCACCTCCTCCCCCTCCTCCACCTCCCTCTTCGTCTGCTTCAAGTTCTGCTCATCTGCAACCCGCAGTGGTGATTACCGGACTGCAGCAAGCAAGCGACGGTACTCTCCTCCGTGGCGTGCATACCACCAACCTACTTACAGAGGAACATCGATCCACACCAATGCAGGCAACGGGGAACAGGACCTTTCCCTCCCCGCTCCCACCTTCTCAGCAATCGGTGATGATGATTAGTTAGGGGACTGACTCCTCCTCCCGTCATCCTCCTGTAAGCAGAAAACTCAGTGCAATCGACACTTACCCAGACCGGGAGAGGCAAAAAGAGAGGCGTGAAGAACAGGGGCGGAGGAAGAACGGGCGCCGCCACCAGCAGGCGACCTGCACGTGCATAACCCCTCTCAAAAAAATGGATCAGTGGGTCATGGCCATCTTTTTCCAATGTTTTTTCCCAGTTCCCTCTCTCTCCCCTTTCTGGTCTTACCCTTCCTTGTCTTTATTTTCTTCTCTCCCCATCCTGCCTTCCCTCCCGTGGTTCTTTCAAAATTCACTATCCCATCTGGCACAACCCGTGTCCTGTGATTGTGACCTTCAAAGCGCAGGACCCGAGTAGCAACTTCGATGCTCCAGGGCAGATGACCACACTACCGACTAGCCGAAGATCTTGGAAGAGGCAGAAGACGGATTGCAACGGTTTCTTACACCTGAGGTACACTAGCAGGGTGATGGAACCGCTTTCCATCAAGAGGCTGATAAACGAGGTCCTGGGCAGGATAATAGGAAACGAGACAACATCGTGGCTGGAATGACCCATGATCGGCTGGACCTATAACGGCAACATCGTTTCTAGGCTTTGCAGACCTGCGGAGGTATTCTGGGAGTTTAACGTTGTGCAAAGGATGGAGGTCTACGACCCGGAGCAATGTCCATGCAGGTCTCGCAGGTACTCGGACATGCTCAACAATGCTTCGATCGAACTGCTCACAAGCCAGGGTTATACACATGTAATCACTTTGGACTCGTCAATCACGAACAACCCACTACTCAAGGGCATCATCAACTCTGGACTGAACCATATCCCATGCATGAGAACGAGGTGGGCGGATTCCTGGACAGATTCACGGTGATGGTATTGGAACTACGCGAGCTCACAGCGTCCACCCAGTCATTTCTACGGAGGATAATCTTGAAGAAGGTGAGAGCGAGGATGACGAAATACAGGGAGCAGCACAGGCACGTGACCGAGGAGCCGTTCGAGCATCTAGCTGTCAAGCGGGAACTGGGGTTCCTCACCGGCCGCTTCCTCATCTGTCCGGCGGATAAAGCCTCGAGCACTCCGGCCTTCGTATGCAAGAACTTCATACGGAAGCTCGCCTTTGAGATGTTGTCTGGACATGAGTTTGCGAGCATCGTCCCCCCCCTTGCAGCAGTCATCTCACGAATACAGTGCGAGCTTTCAGCTATGCCCGTGCTGTCGACTGCACCAGCGACACTCCCGTACCTGATGACGGTGTTTAAGGCGCATAAAAGCACGCTTCACTGGATCACGAACACGGCCAAGACAGTTGTTTCCCCGGAAGCGGACCTTTGCGCTTGTCTGCTTCAGTTTCTCCTTCCCCTGGTGCAGACGTTCTGTAAGGAGAGAAGCTGGGAGGTGGAGGAATGGTTTGGTGTGAACTTGAGGCGAACTTGTGGTGGTAAGTAGCCTCAGTGGGAGAGTTTTGTGCGAACCTGCCAGAGAAGATCTATTCCATCTTTACGGCGGACATCACTAGATGCTTTGAGACGATTCCCACGGGCAACTTGAAGGTAGCCTGCCGGCGGCGGTGAGGATCTACGTGCAAAGCACGATGCAGGTGCGAAGGGAGAGGAGCTCGAGCCATACCATTCGAATCAAGGAAGGACGAACGACAAGTTGTGGCCATCGTGGGTGGATGGCGATCAGGCGGAGGGTATGGGGTCTATGCTGTTCAGGGAGGAGGATGTCTGCTGGCTCACGGAGTGCTGCATCGCCAACAGCGTGTTACGCATGGGGGACGATGTGTGGAGGCAGGTCAGGGGCTTCCCCATGGGCTTGGCCTGCTCCCCGATCTCGTGCGATATCTATTTTTTTAAGTATGAATATCACGCCATGATGAGATTGGCAGATACTGGGAATGCGCATCTGATTCCATACTTCTCGGACACCTTCAAGTACATCGATGACCTGGGCGCAATCAACAACACCATCATCAAGAGTTTCATGCGGAAGAAGGAGGACAGGGAGGAGAACGACCCGTGTTGGATCTACCCAGACGAGTACATAGAAATTAAGGAGAATACTGAGGTTGCGGTGGATGAGTGCGGGCGAAAAGCCAACTTCCTCAGTTTGACCATTACGATCACCTCTCCTTTGCAGGGACGTACGTCAATTCCAGGCACGACAAGCGCAAAGGACTAGGTTTTAGTTCATGAAGGTTCATGAAGTATAAATCCAACAGGAGTGTCAAGCAGTCGATGCAAATTATCCCAGCCCAGGTCGCACAGATCCTATTACTGTGCTCCAAACCAGGTGATGTGGCCGAAGAGATAAAGAAGGTGGTGGCCACGATGAGGGACAATGGCTTTGCCAGAGATGCTTGTTGGGGGGTGGTTAAGAAGACACTGCGGAATACATATCGCTACTAGCCCTTCAAGGCCTCCGTAAATGCGGTCAGGGAAATGCTGACCGACATGAACGGTAGCACTGACTAACTGTTGTTTCTGTGTGCGTATCCATGTCTGTGTGTATGTGTGTGAGTGGTGTCCGGGGCACGACTGGGCCGAGAGGGCCGGTTGTTCTCCGGACAACCACCCCCTCGGACCCTGTAATCCTCCGGAGGGAACGGGGTGGGACACACACACACACACACACACATGCACACACACACACACACACACACACACATACACGCATACAGGTGAGGGAGGAGGAGAAGCAACAGGAGATGGAGGTGCGGACTCACGGAGCTAAAGGATTGGGCGGACAGGCACATGCATTCCTCTCTCTCTCTCTCTCTCTCTC